AAGTCATCACAATCCTAGCTTCCTATTGGTTGGGGACTAATGTTGTTACAATAACAACACAATGGGTGTTGTTATTGTAACCGGTCCCGGAAAGCATAATCTATCGTTTTGCAATTTTTGCTGAAGTGCTATGAAGCGATGGTCTAAATGTTTTTGAAATGAATTCCTCAAAGGATTATGCAGTAGGTGGTGAGAAATTTTTGGTATCATTTTCTGGTGTTCCAAATGGTTGGTTGAAGTGCTATTCTTTCTGCACAATCCTATTTGTTCTAGCCTTATCATCCCTAGTGGTTCGTAAAGTGACTTTAAAAGATTTTCTCTTTGGTGTCAGCTTATCGGAATTTGGTAGCTTGCAAGGAGCTATCATCCAGATGTGAACAAGTAAGTTGGTGTTGTTAGTCGAGGAATGCACACCTTGCATTCTTTTTTCTTTTTGTCTTTTACACTGTCTTACCTGCTTTGTAATCATTACTCTTAAGCTGCTAAACATTTGCGGTTCTTGCTTTCTGGAAGTTCGCTGTTCTGTTTGTCAATGCACAATTAACAGAGGTGGAGGAGTTAACAAGATCAAGGATGTTCTTTGTGTTGGCATTTGTTAAGTGTGTTGGTGGCCTAGTCTTCACATTTATGTTTCTTTAGGATAAAAAATTAACAGCAGATAGAAGTATCATACTATCATGTCTACTTTATCTCCTTGATTTGATATAATCGATACATTTAATGATATTTTAACCTTTCATAAAACTTATACTAGGTTTACCAGAAAGCTGCAACACTAGAAGTGAAGCTTAAATTTGAAAAACAGTTCTGGCTACTAGAAGTGAAGCTTAACATTGAGATTTGCTTGCATACGAACTATGTACTTCCTCTTTTTCCCCTCTTACCTGCTTTATTTACCTTGGGTGACAGGTATGTTGACAGAAGCACCATATTTGATTACCTATGAAACTCATGAATCATGATACATAAGTCTCTTGCTAACACTTTCAAAACTTTTAAACTCACACCATTGGCAGTAGCACAACGAACCCCAGCTTGGTCTTACCTAAATTGGCCACCAAAAGATCATCCTACTGCAATTTTAATCCCTGCGGCGTAGCCGCGGGTATTGATTCTAGTCATAGTTAACAGCAAGCCTTTTATGTTATATACGCCATTTTCTTCCTTATGTTCATAAGTCATAAAACAGCTTATTGAAAGTTGATTCTGGAGGTGAGTGCTAAATCGAAGACGATGTTTGCAATTCTGAGATACGTGAACATTGCGGCCATCTTCAACCAGCCCTCTGACGATGTGCTTGGGGCTAGTGTGGTGGTGCCGGTGGGTTTAAAACGGCAGAATTGACCAAAGATGACGGTTGATGATTATTTATAACTAGAATCAATACCCACGGCTACGTCGTAGGATATTTAATCGTATTTGACATCTTTAAAAATAATATATTCATAACTGAATAATTATCAGTGGAATGGTAATTCAGATTTTGGGGTGAATTTGTGAGCGGATGAAGAATACAGAAAGCATGCAAAGATGATGGATGAGAATTTAGAAGGGATACAAACATTTTGACAGAAACAGAACCCACATTACAACACCATTTCACCTTCAATTCACCCAATTGATTCGTTACAAAAGAATCAAGAGGTTCGATTCCCCCCGATTTCCTCAATTCTCCTTCACCTCTGACTATCTTCTTGAATCCAAACCAAAGCTTGATTCGGAGAGGGAAATGCAGACCCAAAGCTTGCTAACCAAACCTACTGGCTACTGGCATTGGTGAAGAACCTCGAATGAACCAAGAGCTTTAGTACTCTCTCAATTTGGAATGCTATTGCTGAAAAACAAAAACACATTAGTCAATTGAAGTTCTATGAACTAAATAATAATCTAAACAGAACATGGAGTTGATTGAAAGGGAGAGAGGTTGTGGGAAGGGAGAGACATCAAACATGATAATTAAAATTTAAAATATATCCTTCGCTTAATCATTCAGCCCATCAAAACTGATTTTCAGAGAGTCGTGAATTCTTTCATCGGGAATGCGTTCTATCTTTGGAAGCATGGATTCAAATACTCATTTGCTTCTTCCATAAGAGAATGACCGAAAACTTTAAGGGCTAATGGAACACCTAAAATATAATTGAAGACACTCATGCTATTCCTAGTGGGATGTACATTGATGACCAAACATATGATCTTGGGAACCTGTTCTTCTACATCTATACTATCTTTCACCTAAACCCCAACTCGTTTACAATAAAGAACAATAAAAAAAGAACTTGCGCAGCTAAGCCTCATAAAAAAAGGAAGGTACAACTATTGTCATTTGTCACCTTGACATTTGTTCTTGCCACCCTAACTTGCTAGACGAAACTCTTAATTCCTATCTGCAAACTGAAACTGCAGAGACCAAGATGGTGAATTCAAGCTCAAGAAACACCAAAAATTGAATAAGAACAATGGCTAGCATGAAACTGATCTCATACTCTAGTAACCATGTGAAGCTACAGGCTCATAGCTCATAGCGAAAGCGTATGATATTAAACACAAGTCACCTTAAGTTTTCTGTTTTCCTTGCCAATCTAGTTTGCATTAGCACACTGAAACAAAGATATGTTACTGTTTCTCTAGTGAAGAATTTAGTTCATGAATGGCTTAGCTTGTAAGTAATTTCCCCCAAAATTGAAAGTACAGAAAGAGATTCAAGTATTGCTAGAGTTTTTATCTCTAGAGAGTAATGACCATGGTATCGGAAGATGAACTTTTCATGGAGTTCATGCTGGAGAGTTTTTATCTCAATAATGAAGCACAACAGCCACCAGAACCAACAACAAATTGAAGCCACTAAAAAATTGAACTTCAAAGCCAAAGGAAAAAGCTCATTCACAACATATTCGGTTGTTTTCACGATCATCAAATAGAGGCAGCAAGCACACACTTTGAGGAATCGACATTCCCCATCTTTCTACCACCTCATGAATTCCTCCGATGTTGCGTGAAGACTATGACTAAGATAAGAACACAAACAAAAAACACTCAGTATCCAGTGTAAAAATTCAATCCACAGCCTTAGCAGCATGGCAGCAATTATCACCACCTTGGTTGAGATCTAGAGCGTCCAAGGTTAGGGTCCAAAGCAGAGGGCAGGCTGCACTCCACAGTAGTCTTTCCTAGAGTCACAGCCTTGTCGATTCGTAGGTGTTGCACTGTGAAAGCAACAGGGCAGTAAATTACAGCTGGGAGAAGAACAATCAAAATTTAGAAATCTCAAAACCCATACTTAAGCACAATTGAAGATTGTAAAAAAGTAACTAAGCCCTTGACAAACGTAATCAAAGAAGTGGTCGAACTGACTAAAAGAAGCAAGTGAGAAATACAATTCCCTTTCTATATGATAGTTTGAATAAGCAAATATAAATAGCAGAGACTAAATGAAAAGCAAGGCAAACTAATCAAAGTAATCAGGAAAATGTGTCCAAACATCTACATATTTGACATTTGAGTATTTCCTCATACTCACCAAGCAAGCTGACTAAATATGTATATTGCATATGGCTACAGTTCCCATTCCATAATTTAACACCTTAGTTTGACCCCTGCAAAAACAGCATGAGGGAAAACCAGAACCTCTTGCTATTAAAATTATGAAATTGTGATCAAACTAACAAACATCATCTGTCTCCCAAAATCACGTTCATAATATAATATTAAAATGATCAAGAATGAGAGCAAATGTTCAAACTCAATATTGCAGTACCCGCGACACATAGAAAATGAAGATAGCAGTTCCCTCAAGCTTACCAATTATGTATTTGTACATGAGGAGGATGGGTGCAACATGATTTTCTTTTGCCTCAGAAAGAAGCATCAGACCCCCTCAAGAATCATCCTTTCTGTATAAAAAAAAACACTAATAATAAGATCATGATCTCCTTTTATCTAGGAATCAGTGACAGAAAGGCCATTGTTAACTATGAATCTCTTTAGAACATATTCTGAAACTGGAACATATGACAACAAAAGAGAAAGAGGAGTGAACCAAGCAAGCTACCAGTTATTGACCTTCATAGAAGCTGGTACTTCCACCTCCAGTGGTAGATATTACGAAACCATAATATGGTAATGAAGTAGGGAAAATCAAGAAAAGTGAGAAGCAGGATCATTTTTTTGGGGGGTGGCGGTAGGAAGGAAGATCCACAGTGAATGCAAAAGTCAAGAAAAGACTTCACCACCGGCATCCGACTTTTCTCCAGCCAGGGAGTCGTATCTCTTCCAACTTCAGCAGCAATCAAAATGAAACTGCACACCTCTCCTTGTCTTTTCTTTTTCTTTCTGCTGCCGTCGAGCTTCTTCCCTCTTCCAATTTCAACATTGGCGCTTCCACCAACTCCCGCCTCGTCTCCTGCTGTTCCATCACCACCACCACCGGTTTCTGTTGTCCCTACCCATGGCTAGGGCTCGAGTACGAACTCGACGAAACCATATCATCATAATCTTCATTGCTACCTGCGTGCTCTGCGGCGAGAGTCCAAAATCAGAAGGTGAAATTCAAAATATGACAAAGAACACAGAAATAAGAGCTCATCATCATAGGCGATTGTGTCCAACACTAAGGCGACACAACTGGGAGATATGGATTTGTAGAGGGGGGGGGGGGGTAGAGTGAGAGGAGGTAGAGCTGAACTGACTGATTCATTGGCGTTGGCGTGTCTGAACGTGAGGTGGCGTGTGTGAGCAACAACGAAGACCCGAATAGTTGGATAACGACAGAGGAAAGGCATGCTTCTGCGGATTTTGGGTAGCGGCGCGAAGGGATGCAGCTGCGGATTTTGGTGGTACGGTTGCGAAGGGAAGGCATGGGCAGCTGGTGGAGAACAGAAGGCACTGTTGTGCTGGATGAGGGAGAACGGGGAAAATTTTGGGCGGAGCTCTTTCATCAATGTCACAAAACGACAGGAATTGAAACAGTAACTGAAAAATTAGGGCAATAAAGCGTACCCACGTTTCATGTATAAAAGAAAGTGAGATAGAGTTGATTCCCTTCTCTGGGCGGGCAGGCACTACTCATATCAAATTACAATGATATCAGAATGCAAAGACATAATTAACACAAGGATTATGCTCTCTTCACACTCGTGCCCTTCTGTATCAATGACTATGATCTTCAACGAATCTCATGAAATTATTCAAGGAAGACCCTTCAACTCCAACAGCTTCCCTCGCTTTCTTTCGCCACTCCAGGGCCTTACGCTTCATCGCCTTCCCTTCCTCTCCACTCATCATCTCCTCAATCGCATCCACAACCTCATTCCTCTTCACATCGTGGCTCAGCTCCACCCCAATCCCCCACTCGCTGCAAGCATATCTGCAGTTCGTCTGCTGTTCCGCGAAAAAGGGCCAACATATCATAGGGACGCCAGCCGAGACACTCTCCATCACCGAATTCCATCCACAATGTGTCAGGAAAGCGCCCACAGCAGGATGCGAGAGCACTTCCTGCTGCGTGCACCAACTAGCTAAGCACCCACGACCCTCGATTTCCTTCAGAAACTCCGGTGGTAACATTGCTGAATCCCCCATTGCAACGTCTCCTCTCACAATCCAAAGAAACGGGCGCTTGCTCTCTGCGAGCCCCCACGCGAACTCCTTCATGTGCTCTTCGGACATGACTGTCACGCTTCCGTAGTTGACATAAACGACCGACTGCGGCTCTCTTCCATCGAGCCATTTCGTACACTCACGGTCTTCTTTCCAGAAGTTTGAACTGATGGAGCTAGTTTCAGTGCTTTTGGGCTCCGACATCGCGTTACCAAGCAAGTGGAGTGGACCGATTGTGTAGATCTCACGAGGAAACTTGGTCCTAATAGCGGCTAGCACTTGTTCCTCAAATGCGTCGAAAGTGTTGAAGATAATCGCGTTCGATTTCATCGAGTTCTCTGCTTCAGTTTTCAGGTGATTGAACATTATATCTTCCGCATCAGTCGTTGTTGCGAAGCTTGGTAGATCCCTCAGACGGATATTGTTCATTCCTTGAATCCATTCCAAAGGCATCTCAAGTGTTCCATCCGTGAAATTGGCCTCTGAGAACAACATATGTAGATAGTGTAAATCAATAAGCAAACTCATTGACGGAGGAGAGGGGGAAAAGCAGAGAGTAAAGTACCTTTGAGAGGAGATATGCCTCTTCCAATGAGCTCACCAAACTGCAAATAACCCATGAGCCCACAAACCGAGGCAGTCCAGAAGGTAGCGTGGGGGATCCCCAACAATTCGGCAGCTTTGATCCCTAAGGTCATGATTCCATCTGAAACCATACATGTAACTGGAGGAAATCCCGCAGAGCTAGTTGAATTGAGCTTTCCCATCAGCTCCATGAATGGTTGCAGGCAGTAGTTCTGCGTGGCGTGAGAAATGGCAGGAGGGTCTTGAGTGGCATCCTTGTCCGACGGCGGCAGCCCATCGGGGATCGCTCGAAACTGGAAATCGGGGAGACCCTTGACGGATTCAGGGCCTCTGGTTCGGACCAGGCGCCTGTGGTTGTGCTCGGTGTTGACGAAGGTGATGTGGAAGCCTTTGGAATGTAAGAGCTTGGCTAGTTGCATTAGTGGGTTGACATGGCCTTGAGCTGGGAATGGCAGTATCACAGCATGTGGCTTCTGCTGCTGCTGCTGATTTGTTGTAGGTGTAGACCTCATGATCTTCTCACTGCTTACTGGTTGTAAATTGAATTTGGACTTCTCCCCTGCAAAATGATGAAGAGTCTCCAGCAATCGTGAAGTTAAAGATGATTTGATTACTAAAGGGAAGGTTGACTTTTGTTGAGTTTTCACTTTTCAGCAGTATTGGTCAACAAAGTGGGTAGCAGTAAGTGATAAGAGAAGGGAAAGTGTGGCGATTCATATAGGTCAGTCTTACTTTGAGAATTTTATAGAGTTCACGACATGACGTCCGCGTGGACCGCGTACACAATTGTTGAATGAAGAAAATCAGATTCGATGTGAGCAAACCAGGCAGTACATGGATTTACTTCTAGTTTCTATAACTATAAGACCATCTCCATTAGGGCTGGGAAAATAGACCAGACCGTTAGAAAAACCGTGGTCCAAACCGTACCGTATAGTTTGGTCCAGATCGTAGACCGTGAAGTATGGTCTGGTCTGGTCCATGGTCTGTATTATTTTATGATTTGATCTCTTGGTCTGGTCTGGTCTAGACCGCGGTTTACCGGACCAAACCGTGGACCCAACTGACTTGTTAATATGTGTTAACAGCCCATTCGACCACTCTCCAAACTCCCACAACGACACCCAAGTCTCAACCAATTAATTTTGTGAATCTCTTCCCTCCTTCATTCACAACCACATTTAACCAGAGAGTAGAGATAATCGTGTCTCCATATGACATTATGTTAATGTTTATGGCGTTATGGTGCAAGCTGGGATGCTTTTACTTTGTATCTTTGTTATGTACTAAGATTTAGAGTATCAAAATTATTTCTGCATGTTAGGATTAATGTTTTAAGGCAAAGAACAATTATTTTTCTTGGTTATTGGTTCAATTTTTTGTGTGGTTGACTAAACAAATTATTCATTTTTCGTTGAGTGTGGTCTATCTGGACCAGACCAGACCGAACCAGACCGCACAGGCGTGATCTGGACCGGACCGTATAGTCTGTGGTCTGATTTGTGGTCTATACTTTAGCCTCTCGGTCTAGACCGTAGACCGTATATATGGTCTGGTCTGGACCAGATCGCACCGTTTCCCAGCCCGAATCTCCATGGTAGTGTTAGTGAGAAAGACTTAGAGATCATTTGTTTCACGGAATTAGAGGCATGAAGTTTTTGGGTCAAAACATGGGTTTTGGAAATTTTTTATTTGGGATGAATTTTGGGCAATATTTGGGTTTTAGAAATTCTTGGATTTGATTGTAAAATAAAAAAAAAACTTCTTGGATTTGTGATGAATTTGGAAAATTATGATTTATGTTTGTTTGATGCATTTTGTTCATGGATTTGAGTTTTGTAGCTAGTGCTTGAAAAATAGATCAGACCGTTTGAAAAATCATGGTCCAAACTGGATTATACAGTTTGGTTCGAACCATAGACCGTTAAGTATGTTTGGATCTGGTCCATGGTCTGCATCATATGATGCTTTAATCTCTTGGTCTGGTCTAGACCGCGGTTTTCCAGACCAAATAGTGGATCCAACCGACTTGTCAATGTGTGTTAGTAGCCCACTCGATCACTTTCCCAACTCCCACAATGATACCCAAGTCTCAATCTTAATTTCGAGAATCTCGTCTCCTCCTTCATTCACAACCACATTTCACTAGAGAATAAAGACGATTGTTTCTCCATATGACATTATGTTAATGTTTATGACGTTATGGTGCAAGTCGAGATGCTTTAACTTTTTTATCTTTGATGTTTACTGAGATTTATGATGTCAAAATTATTCATGCATGCTGGAAATTATGTTTTAAGGCCAAAAAAAGATTGTGGCTATTGGTTCAATTTTTTCCCCGATGAATATTTGGTTTAATATTTTGTGTGGTTAACTAATCAAATTATTCATATTTCATTCATTGTGTTCTATCTAGACCACACTGTACCGGACCAGACCGCACATGCCTAGTTTGGTCTAGACCATATGCTTTGTTATCTGGTTTGTGGTCTATACTCGAACCTCTTGGTCTGGGTATATTTGGTCCGTCTGAACCAGACCGCACCGTTTTTCAATCCAATTTGTAACTTAGTATGTAAATTACCTTACTATCCTTATTTATTTATTTATTTATTTTATATTCTTGAGACAAGAGGATATATAACTAATTATTATCACGGGGCTCACGAAATTGTGACCATATTCAAAATCTCGCATCCATATTTCGTTTTTGCAAGTCCATGGGATACATTGATTTGGACCCTTAAAGTCCATCAGTCTCACAGATTTGGCTTAAAATCCATGGCATCTACCCAATGTGCACATCATACTTGGTAGATGGTCGGGGCTACGAAACACTATCTTTGTCAATACGTCGCGATAGGGACTTCACAGTATTAGGTGCGAGGGAATGTCACGAAGAAAATGATGGAAAAATAGACTTTTGCATACTTTGGATTGTTATATCGGTTTATTATTTGTTATGAGTTTTTAAACATTATTTGGGGGATTATTTGCTTGTTTTGATTTTTGGGTAGCATTCGGTAATTAGCGGATTATATAAATAGTTAGCTAGTGGGTTCTATGCCACTAAGCAAAATTATAAACCTAACTACGTCTTGATCTCTATCTCTTCCCTCTCCCTAGTCGAACTCCCCTCTTTCCCTTTACCTAGGTGTTGCCGCAGCTCTACTCCTCTTTCCCTTCTTCTCTAAATCTCATCACTCATCCCCAATTCTAAGTTCTATTAAGGAGGATCAATCCCTAATTGATCCTCTAATTCCTAATCCCTAGATAGAGCCAACTCCTAGGTTCTATCATATTGGTATCAGAGCCTCAACGAGTCTATAACGACTCTAACTGGGGGAACTCGAGCGAACCATGGTGCTGGCGAAATCCATGACTGCTGCGGAGAAGGATGCCCAGGAAAAGACGGCCCAGGACAAGAGCTCGGGATCGCAGGTCCACGGTACCCTTGAAGATCTCACTGACACATAGGTGTTGCGCGCCAAGATCGACAAGGTGGAGGTGACGGTCGACAAGCTGGATGTGACGGTCGCAAGCATGGGCACTGGCCAAGAAGCCATGAGCGAGGAGTTTCGTCTCATACGTGAGATGTTGGAGCAGCTGTTCCTCGGTAAGGATGGGGCCGCAACCGCGGCGCCGGTAGGGCCACCGGGGTTCGAAGGTGGCGGCCATGCCAGGGCAGCCGACGAGGCTAGGCGCCGACGATCAAATCGGTGCCGCCATTGCCGAGACGGTCGCAGACGGCGGAGCGGGGCGCGGGCAGCCAACCCCAAGGCCGGAGTTGATGCTGACGACGACCAACCTAGGGCGGAGTGACCGTGTGGGGTACGTTTTTTTTGGCCCACACGCAGGCCCGGGTCTGTTGCCGACTCCGACGGTCCAAGAGTTGGAGACCCTACGAGGAAAGGCCAAGCAGCTGGGCTACGATAATGTGATTCATGGTCACAATTCGGGTCCACTGGGACCAACGTGGGAGGAGCTGGAGGCGGATCGGACTGGGGGCGACCTGCAATGGGGTTGGATGAGCCGCCTTGAGGAACCGAGACTGGTAGACAGCGATGACCTGGACCAAACAGGTCAAGCCGTCCCTGTTTCAACCGGTTTGGTCCACAACCAACCCGACCAAATGCTGGTCTCCGCCGATAGTAGGGGCTCGACGAACGGGGGCGGATACCACGGGGTGACTAGTGCTTCTCAGCCTACCTTCAGTGCTTCTCGTGAGGTGGGACGCCCACCTAGCATAACATGGGAAATGGGGCGCGGTCCGCGAGATGGTCCAGAGTACTTTCCAGACGGCCATGATGCTGAGGAGGAGGCATCGAGGTATGGGCGAGAACTGTCAGGTTTTCGTAGCCAGTACAGGGGACCTTCGAGCATGGGCAGGTATGGTGAGCACTATCGGGGTTATGAGGGTGAAGTTGGGCTTGTGTTCGGGGCTAAACCATCTATCATTGAGTTTCCAAAATTCAATGGCCAGGAGGATGTAGGATTATGGTTACATGCAACTAACAGGTGGTTCCGGAACCATCTCACCAAGGAGGAGAGGAAGGCGCACCTGGCGTCCTGTTATTTCGAGGGGGATGCTTTGTAGTGGTGGGAATGACTGGAGAGGTCATACGCTCAGCAGGGGACCTTGATCGCCTGACCGAGGTTTCAAGAAGAGCTCTAATACCAGTTTGGTAAGTTGGAAGGGTGGGCTCCAGAGCAATTGGCCAAGCTCCTACAAACCGGGACTGTGGCAGAGTATAGGGCGGAGTTCTTCAAGTTGGGCAACCAGTGCAAACGGGTGCTCGAGGAGACATGCGTAGGGTTGTGCATGGCAGGGCTCAAGCCAGAGATTGCATCGGCAGTCAAGGTCTTTGAGTCTGACTCTTTAAAAGCTGCTTTTTGCAGGTCACAAGGAGGAGGAGATAGCCAACTGGAGGAACACCATTGGTCGTTACTAGAGGCCGAGTGGCAGCGGGAGCAACAACGCTGGTGGTGGTGGGGGCAGCCAACTGGCGCGGGCAGCGGCATAAGAGCGACGGCTCGGCCAGGACCGTGGGCTCCACCAAAAGGCTTTGTTCGACTGTCTCAGGCGGAGATCCATCAGAAGCGAAGGGAAGGCAAATGCTTCAACTACAATGAGCGGTTCACGGTTGGTCACAAGTGTGCGAAGCCGGAAATGATGATGGTCATAGGGCATTGGGAGGACCAAGCCGAGGAAGAGGCGGCAGGGTTCGAGTGGGTGACTGATCACAGGGAGGAGACCAAGTGATCGCGAGCTCAACCTTGAGGTCAAGGTTGTTCGCAAGGAGGCGGGGATGATGGACACATAGACTTTTGCATACTTTGGGTCATTTTATCGATTTATTATTTGTTATGAGTTGTTAAACATTATTGGGGGGATTATTTGCTGGTTATTATGTTTGGGGTAGCATTCGATAATTAGCGGATTATATAAATAGTTAGCTAGTGGATTCTATGCCACTAAGCAGAATTATAAACCTAATTACGTCTTGATATCTCTCTCTCTCTTCCCTCTCCCTAGCTGAACTCCACTTTTTCCCTTTACCTAGTTGCTGCCTAGGGATGGCAACAAAACCCGAACCCACGGGTACCCACCCGACCCAACCCGGTCAACGCGGGTAAAATCCGTGTTGACGGGTTTTGGGCCGGGTTTGGGTTTAAACCCGTTCACTATTCACCGGGTTGGGTTGGGTTTGGGTTTAGGTAAACCCGGCCCGTAGGTACCCGCCCACTCATATAATTAATTTTTTCGGTATATTTAATATTCTAAACAACTATTCTTATTTATGTTTGTGGAGACATGTCTAATTTTTTCTTTTTTTTTCGGTGATTTAATTTTTTCTTTTTAATTGTGTAGAATGAAGTTGATGTTATGGAGTGGAGACTAAAGAAACTTAATTGAAAGAAATAAGCTTTCAATTAAACATGTTATTTATGGATAATTTGTGATTTGCTTCAATTTTCATGAGTTTTCTAGATTGGTGTTGAACAATTTGTATAGTTAATTTGTGATTTGCTTGAATTTTCTAGAATGGTGATTTATATATGGATAATTTATATTGAGAGATTGATATTTGACTTTAATTTTGATAAGAACTTGTAATTGTAAATTTTTTACGACAAAACCCGTGGGTACCCATGAACCCGCGGATACCCAACAGGTTGGGTTGGGTTTGAGTTTTCAAACCCGGTGGGTTTTACCCCGGGTTTTTTTCAAAGATAAACCCATGGGTTCGGGTTTGGGTTTGGCCCAACCCGACCCAAGCCCTACTCCTTTTTTCCTTCTTCTCTAAATCTCATCACTCATCACCAATTCTAAGTTCTATGAAGGAGGATCAATCCCTAATTGATCCCTAATTCCCAATCCCTAGATAGAGTCAACTCCTTGGTTCTATCAGAAAACCTGATGGCGGAACATGCATTCAGAGCTTCATCGCATCAAACCGCATATTGGGGGACGTGCCAGCATTGGATGGCAGACCATCTGTATTGTATAGTTTATTTTGAATAACGTGTACATTTGTAGCCATATGATGAGATCTACACAAGAGGATCAGACCATCGATTCAAGATAGTCTTGCCTATATAAGGGAGAACCTCTTTCATTTGCAAGAAGTTAGAGAGATAATAGAGAGAGAAATTTCTTCACCACTCTCTTTGTGCAAGCGTGAGCATGTTCGAGCAAGGGCTTGCCTAGCATTTTAATGAGACCTGAGTGCTAGGCACCGCACGGTACATAAGTCTATGATAAAACTCGATGCAGTTATGTGTTTGAGGATATGTGGATACTATTCAGTTATCATCATAGTGGTGGTGACCTATAGCTACTAACGGATAAGAGAAATGAGTTGGGGGGTTTGTGAAACTATATAGGCTTTGAGGATTGAGAGTTTCATAAATCTCTTTCGTAGGAATGCTGATGTATTTGTCTGTGACTGCCCCTTATCACGCTCTTGTATTGTATGTTACATTTACTCTTTTATTTATTTAATAATAATAATAATATATCACCATTACCAAAAAAAAATATTATATATGGTAAGCCAATAAGGGTTGTTCAAATGGCAGAGGACATGTGGGTCATTGTGGTAATGGTTTCAGTTAAAGGGGTTCTTGAATTTAGGAGAAGTTATCTAAATGAGTTAATGTGTTGGGAGGAGTTACGGTGCTAATTGTATAAGAGTTAGCACCATCCTAATCAAGGGAAAAATTACTACTAGTTTGAATTAGTAGTGATTTAGTTTAGATGTTGTATTGATTTTATAATAATCTGTAGTGATTTCGTTGTTTTTAGTAGCGTTTTTTGCTAGTTATCACGGTGCTAACCCGCACCTAATCCCATCCCTAATGGGTTTGATGCTTAGAGGAGTTCTAAATTTGAGCTAGGGCTCAAGTTAGGGTGCATAACCATGGGTTATGCATCCATCAATAACCAAATCTGGACCCTTCATTTAGAAAATCCAGATCTAATGATGGAGAATTAAAGGTCATTTTTATTTTCACTAGCTTTCTTAATTGACTCATATTTTTTTCGTTTTAACTCGGATTTTTTTTTTTTGCACAGATGGAACGAGTTCATCGTGCTCTACAAAATGAGATCAATTTTCAATATTTTTTGAGGAAAAAAAATTCTGACCTCTCGGTACCAACTGCATACCATATGGTATCTTCTTCGTTTTTAATTCGTTTTTGAAAACGTTTGCACAACAGGGACGAGTTCATCATGATCTATTGGATCTACAAATTTCTGGGTGAACAAATTACAAGACAAAAAAATACCACACAATACCATACAATACCACCCTGGTACGGGGTGGTATCTTATGGTATCTTATGGTATACAATATTAAAAGTCGTAAATGACAATTAATATACTTCTACTATCATGTATTCAACCATCCTATAGATTTGGTTTGTGTCATACCACCATGATACGCTTTTCAAGCCATAGGTATGCTCTTATTTCAATACCAGTTAATACCATATGGTATAGACTGGTATAAAATGGCTCAATTTTTTTTGTTCGAAAAATATATCAAAGTGGATATCATTTTGAAGAGCACAATTAATCTGATCTAACTGTGCAAAAAAAATTAAATTTCGACTTAAAACGAGTGAGAAATCGTCCGTCAAAGATTAATGATGGGAAAATTAAAGGCTTTCCAGGAGATAAAGGATGCTGATCTCATGCTGATGTGGGCGGGTTACTCATAGTACTCACCATAAGGTTACTGACCTGATCCGTTCCCTTGAGCTAGTTTTTCTTCTTCTTTTTTATAAAGGTTTTCTCCAATTTTTGTTTGATAATGTCGAATGATTCGGTAAAATGGAAACTACCAAGTACAAGAGAAGCAAAAATGTAGACTGAACTTAGAAATATAATGCATAGCTATCTGAGTTTTAAGATAGCTCTGCACTTTCAAAATATAAAATCGTCTTTCTTAACTGCAATGTAGTCAAAAGCGCGTTTTTACGTAGAAGCGTTTTGGTGATCTAGAAACGTAAAACCATAAGTTTTTAAGCTTTAAAGCATAGTTTTTAACTACATTAGTTATAAAAACGGAGATTATAGATAAAAGCATTTTTGTGACCTAGAAATGTAAAACCGTAAGTTTATAAGATTTAAAGCGCGATTTTGACTACATTGCTTAACTGGAATTTCTAAGTTATTGAGAAAACATATAATACTTGCTTTTCTTTATGATTTCTAACTATTTCTTTTCTCTCTCCACGCCACTAAAATACGCTAAACATGTAAGCTAAATACTTCCCGCGAGCCTGTGTTTATTCTTGTGATCATAATCGAGAAGAAATTGCATAAAACTTTCGAACGACGAGCCTTGCACACCAACGGCTTCCCTCGCTCTCTTTTGCCACTCCAAAGCCTTATGCTTCATCACCTTCCCTGCCTCTCCATTCATCATCTCTTCAACGGCATCCACAACCTCATTCCTCTTCACATCCTGACTGAGCTCGACACCAATCCCCCATTCCGTGCAAGCATATCTACAGTTAGTCTGTTGTTCCGCGTAAAATGGCCAGCAGATCATGGGAACGCCAGCAGAGACGCTCTCCATCGTAGAGTTCCAACCGCAATGGGTCAGAAAAACGCCCACAGCTGGATGTGAAAGCACTTCCTGCTGCAGGCACCAACCGGCGAGACACCCACGTCCTTTGATTTCCTCCAGAAACTCTGTCGGCAAGATAGCCGAACTCCCCATTGCGATGTCTGATCGTATGATCCAGAGAAATGGGCGTTTGCTTTCTGCAAGCCCCCACGCAAATTCCTTCAAATGATCATCAGACATAACCGCCATGCTCCCATAGTTCACATACACAACTGATTGAGGCTCTTTTTCGTCGAGCCATTCCGTACATTTGAGGTCTTCTTTCCAGAGATTCAGACTAATCGACTTGGATTCGGTTTCGGGTTCATACATTTCCTTGCCAAGCAAGTGGAGTGGACCAATTTTATACACCTGATCACCAAAGTTTGTTCTGATTGCTTCTAGCGCGGGCTCTTCAAATGCATCGAAGGTGTTGAAGATGATTGCGCCGGATGATTTCAAGCAGTTCCTGGTTTCCGTTCTGACGAAATGGAAAGCTACATCATCGACATCCATCGTCGTTGCGAAGCTTGGCAGATCCCTCAGTCGGATGTTTCTCATTCCAAGAATCCAGCCTAGAGGACTTTCAAGGGTTCCATCCACTAAGTTGGCATCTGTGAACACACAAGAAATGAATTTTTTTTTTTTTTTGGGTTCAAACTCAATGAATTCTATTTGTGAAAGGATTAACTGTCTTAGTAGTTTGTGATTTTCATTGTTCCATTGAGTATATATAAGAGGAAAAGGGAAGAAGAGAGACCTTTGAGAGGAGATATGCCTCTTCTAATGAGTTCATCAAATTGCAAATATCCCAGGAAGCCACAGGCTGAGGCAGTCCAGAATGTAGCATGCCGGACCCCCAAAATTTCAGCAGCTCTAATCCCAAAAGTCATCACTCCATCTGATACTATGCAAGAAACAGGTGGGATGTCATCAGGAGATGACTTCAATTTGTCAATTAGTTCCAGAAAGGGTTCCAGGCAGTAATTCTGCGTCGCGTAACAAAGTGCAGCAGGGTCTTGAGTGGCATCGATGTCTGAAGGCGGCAAGCCATCAGGAATGGCCTGAAACTGGAAATCAGGGAGACCCTTCACAGCTTCGGGCCCTCCGGTCCGGACCAGGCGCCTATGGTTGTGCTCGGTGTTGACGAATGTTATGTGGAAACCTTGGAGGTGTAAGAGCTTGGCTAGCTGCATAAATGGGTTGATATGGCCTTGTGCAGGACATGGCAGCAGCACTGCGTGTGGCTTCTGCTGCTTTCCTGAGGGTGTGGATTGCATCATCTTTCTCTGCAGCTTGTGAATTGGACTATGGTTCTTCTACCTACATTCCAACATGATAGTTTTGTAGCAATTTCCAATGTGTGAGAGGGGAAAATGATGGAATGGCCTTTCAAACTTGGCTGACTTGGAAATATCGGGAAAGAAAGAATGAAACAAACGATTAAAGCAGGTAATCCATCCTTGATTTCCAAGTCAGCTTCTTCGTTTTTTGGCTTAAGTGACAAAAAACAATTGCCTTCTCCGCCATCAACAACTATGTGAAGAGAAAAGGCAAGCAGTATAAATCTTGGAAACGAAGTACTCTAGATCGCTATCCGTTTAAGCTAAATGCTAATCAGTTATCATATAACCAATCATCATATAACAAGTCTTGTTAACATTTAAACATTAACTAGTTTTTTTGGCCGGCGCTCCGTCGTGGTAAAATATTAATGATTTAAATCAAATTATTCACAAAATTATTCAGATAAGATACGTATGCAAGTTTCCTGTAATTCCTTAATCATTACGAATAACATGTGCCATCCGTTTGTGAAGTGATACATAGTAAATAACTATTTCTATATAAGGTTTACGAGGTGTTTAATCATTATGGAGCTTACACATTATTATTTTTAATTGATACGTATAAAATGATTATTTGTCTATAAAATTTACGTAGTGTATTAATTATTAAGGAAAACTCATCTAACAGTTGTATAATGTTATTACATAAATCTTTTATAATGTGTGATCGAATAATAAAATTAAGTTATAGCAAACAACATTGATTAAATTTTAATATATATAACTATTATGGAATGTTGTTACATAAATATTTTATAATGTGTGGTCTACTAATAAAATAAAATTTTAGAAAGTAACATGAAAGTAACAGATGATTAAACTATTATGTCAAACTTAACCAATCCAGAGTTTATGGTAAAATTGGATGTAGGAGGTAAAAAAACTATTATAGAAAGTCGTTACCTAAATATTTTATAATGTGTGGTCTAATGATATTTTATTATACATCCCTTCATATGAAATAAAATCAAGTTATGGAACTATCATAGAACTTTTTTTAAAAGAACGGTGTTGCAAAAATATTCTATAATGTGTGGTCTAATAAAAGAATCAGGTTATGAAATGTATTACATTTATTAAACTATTACATAAAAGTTCACTTTCGGAACTTTCGCGTAATACAAATCAATGAGATGATGAATATTGTAATAAAGATATGAAAAATTCTCACAAAAAAAAGATATGAAAAATATCACATTTGATCAAATTAATATATATAAAGTAGAAGTTTGGTTACTGTTGCTAAAAAATTTAAATTTTGATACTTTAAATTTAATTAAATCACAACTTTAGTTATTATAAGGTACATTTTACATTTTGATACCCAAATTTAATTCTAAGATAAAATCATTGAATAATTATGTTTTGCTATTTTAATACATTTATGTGGTACTAAAAAAATTTCTATTAACTACCCCAAATATAGTTAAATCACAACTTAGTCATTATAATGTAGATTTTACATTTTGATACCCCAAATTTTATTTTATTGTAAAATCATTGAACAATTATGTTTTGCTATCTCATTTAGTACATTTACGAGGTACTAAACAAACTTCTACAAACTACCTGTAACAAAATATGTGACATCTAAATAAGCAAGTGTCAATAAATTGCTACGGTGAAAATGGTTGACTGTTGTATTGACGGTCAACTAAAAGAATCGAACAAAATCTTTCCATCATCTACTTCCTCTTCGTTTCATTTTTCACTCGCCTTCCATAACCCTTTTGTTTATTTCGTTCTTTGCCTTCTTCGTCTAACCCTAATTAGGATACAATTTTTATGAATTTCAATCACAAGTATGAACGGGTCCATACACGACTCACCAATAGTCTAGAGAACTAATAATTGAACCATGGAACCACTAACTTTTTTTCAGCTCAATGTCGAGTCCACTTAAAAATAAATATATGGTTATTACTTATTAGAAATTCGCCATTTTCCACAATGGGATTTGAAGGCATGAAATTTTAAGCGAGTTCCAGTTTGTCTTTCTTTTGCTTCTGTCTAAAGTTTTTCTTTTTCACCCTGACTAGATTTTCAACAATTATACATTGAATGTTTGGGGTTGTAATTATGTAAGCCTATAAAAGGCCTCAAACTCGTTTTGTATCATTCAGAATCGATTTATGAAGAAATCCCCAAAATTCTCAACGTTTTGAGTTGTGAGTTGAAATTGGTTTTGGTTGCGATCAAAACTTGCTGACCTTTTGCCTATTGATCGAGCAATCACACTCGGTCACTCGAAGGTAACCTCATAGCGACTGTGCATCCTCCCAGGTGTGAGGATTCCCTCTCGTTTCCATCCTAGCTCGTGCCAAACAAGAGTCTCAAGCTTGTTTGTTGTTTCCTGCTGTTCATCGAAAGCCAAGGACTTCAATCCTTGAGTTTGTTGCGTAAACTCTGATCCAACACCTGCCTTGGGTGGCTTTATCCAAGCTAGCAACCGCCACCGACTTCGAAACAACACGCCTAGTCTCGGTTCAGAAAGAGGAAGAGGAAATCCACAAAGACGTCATGGTCACACCACGCAAATGACGCAAGAAGAAGACTGGAGAGCCCCGATCATAAAATACCTATAGGATGGCGCGGTGCCAGAAGATAATAAAGAAGCATGGACCCTGAGACCAAAAGCTGCCCGGTGCACGCTCATTGGTGGAGAGTTGTACCGCCGATCATACTCTGGCGTATACCTGAAATGCATCGGTCAAGAGGAGGCGCACGACATGGTGCGCGATCTACATGAAGGTTTGTGCTTAATGCACACGGGAGCGCACAGTATGGAACGCACCATCCTGTTGCACAGATATTATTGGCCGCAAGTGAAAAAAGACACAAAGAAATACGCGGACCAATGTCACAAATGCCAAGTGAACGCCCGCCAGCACCATCTGCCATCAACCGAGCTCCAAGGCAATCAGAGCCCATGGCCCTTCGCGCAATGGGGAGTGGACCTCTTAGGTCCCTTTCCAACGGCTAAAGGAAAACGAAAGTACATAATCGTGGCGGTGGACTACTTCACCAAATGGATCGAAGCGGAAGCACTAGCATCGATAACCGCGCAACAGGTAACTCGCTTCCTCAAAAACAACATCCTGGCACGCTTTGGAGTGCCAAATGCGCTCATATTCGACCACAGGAAACAATTCGACTGTGCGGAGGTCATAGACTTTTGTGACCAAGTGGGGACCATTGCGAGGTTCGCGTCGGTAGCTTACCCCCAAGCCAACGGTCAAGCGGAATCGGCCAACAAGGCAATTTTGCACGGTTTACACACTCTCCTCGATGATGCGAAGGGCAATTGGGCCGATGAGCTCAACACGGTGTTATGGGCGCACCGCACCACATTCAAGGTAGCAACAGGCGAAACTCCCTTCGCACTCACATACGGCACCGACGCAATAATTCCAATTGAGACAACAGCTCCAACATACCGGATCACAATGTGCAATGAAGAGAGTAACGAAGAGGCGCACCTGTTGGACTTAGAGCTAGCACAGGAACGACGAGAGTTAGCAGCCATCAGGCTAGCAGCAACAAAAGAACATGTGGCAAAATACTACAATGCGAAGCTGGTTCCGCATAAGCTAACCCTCGGAGACCAAGTGCTGCGTCGGAACTTCCGCCCCGACCCCAAACACGGAAAACTCACCTCTACATGGGAGGGTCCATACCTAATCCACGAGGTGGTAGGTGCCAACACTTTCAAGCTTAGTGAATTGTGCGACACAAAAATTTCAAGGACGTGGAATGCGCAAAACCTCGAGAAATATTATCGGTCCATTTGATGTGAGTTTTTCTTTCACAATGGCGCATTTGCGCAGATGAATGAATACAAAGTTCGAAGGGACACGAATAGCAATAATCATGAATTATTTGCGCCCCGCGCCACGCGCGCAGAAGTACGCAAAAACGCTGATCATGAATCACGCGAACACGAATAGCAATAATCATGAATTACTTGCGCCCCGCGCGCAAAAGTATGACAAATGCTGATCATGAATCACGCGAACACGAATAGCGGTAATCATAAATTATCCGCGCCCTACGCCTAACGTGAAAAAAAGAGAGGGCAAAAAATTGGAATAAGCATTGACGCAAGGCACATAGATGAAAAAAGAAGGGACTATTGGATTTTCATTTAAAGGGAACACATGCCGCGCGAACATATCCGCGACATAACAACAACAAAAATGAAAATAATAACAAAGCAACATCGGAGCAGTGCGCCTACACTTCATTCGCAGCCCCCCCAGCCTCCTCCTCCGCCGCAACATCAGCTTCCCCCATCCTTAGCTGCTCCAGAACCCCCATCCTCCACCACAGCTTCCCCATCCTTAGCCGCTCCAGACTTAATTAAGACTGTATTCATCGAATGTATTTTTTCAGTTCCCGATTCGTGTGTCGTGCCCTTTCTTCTTTTTCGTTTTCTTGCTTTGCCGAACTCTCCAATTTCCCGATCCACATAAAAACAATAGTGGCTATGCTTCTACACTTTTGGAATTGAAAAACATGTTAACAAAGTGATCTTTGGTGTAATAATCCAGTAAAATGGAATAAGTTTTTTTAATTAGAATATTTTGGGTAAATTGGTCGGATTCAATAAGTTTCGGTAATTATCTTATTCTACTATTTTTCTCTAAAAAACTTCTCATACTATTTTAATAAAAATATTCAATGGATATGCTACCGATCAAACCACACGATTGCATCACTAATAACTATTGTGCTAAGTTGTCCGATACAATATCCATTAAGATATACCATGCTCATTATCACCATTTCACAAACATAAAGATGTACAGCACTTAATTGTGCTATTTGTGCTTTATGATTGCATATAGTAGTCTTGGACAAATCTTCCGAAATTACTGAAGGAAGGCCCTTCAACACCAACACATTCCTTGGCCTGCTTCTGCCATTCCACAGCCTTGTATTTCATCACCTTTCCTGTCTCCCCGCTCATCATCTCCTCAATCACATCCGCAACCTCTTTCCTCTTCACATCAGCACCGAGCTCCAGGCCGATCCCCCACTCTCTGCAAGCATACCTGCAGTTAGTCTGCTGTTCCGCGAAAAAGGGCCAACATATCACAGGAATGCCGACGGAGACGCTCTCAATCATCGAGTTCCAACCGCAATGCGTCAGGAAAACTCCCACAGATGGATGTGAAAGCACTTCCTGCTGTACGCACCAGCTCGCCAGACACCCCCGGTTTTCGATCTCCTCGAGAAACTCCGGCGGCAGGATTGCTGAATCCCCCCTTAAGATATCCGGTCTCACGATCCACAGAAACGGGCGCTTGCTTTCTGCAAGCCCCCACGCGAATTCCTTGAGGTGTTCGTCCGACATAACCGTTATGCTTCCGTAGTTGACATACACAACCGATCGAGGTTCTCTTTGGTCGAGCCACTCCGTGCATTTCAGGTCTTCTTTCCACAGATTTGAACTTATTGTCCTGGATTCTGTTTCAGACATTTCTTCACCTCCAAGCAAGACGAGTGGGCCGACGGTGTAGATTTGACGAGGCCAGGGGAAGTAGTCCTTTCTGATGGTCGTTAGCGCTTTCCCTTCGAATGCATCGAATGTGTTGAAGATGATCGCGCCGGATTTCAAGCAGTTCCTGGCTTCGATTCTCAGGAAGTGGAACATCACATCTTCGGCATCCGTTGTAATTGCGAAGCTTGGCAGATCCTTGAGACGGATGTTGCTCATCCCAGCTGGAACCCATTCTAGAGGACTCTCGAGGGTTCCATCCTTCAAGTTGTGCTCTAAAATAGAGAATGAAAAGTTGTTAAATAGGATTCAACCATTTGCAATTTTTGACATAAACTAATTCCCACATCATATTCAGCTAAAAAAAGTCGCCACCTTTGAGAGGAAAGATGCCTCTTGTAATGAGTTGATCATATTGCAAATACCCCACGAGCCCGCAAGCTGAGGCGGTCCAGAAAGTCGCATGCTGAACTCCCAACAATTCAGCAGCTTCAATTCCAAACGTCATGACTCCATCAGAAACTATGCAAGTAACTGGAGGAACTTCTGGAGCACTAGTGGTACTCGAGTTGAGCTTTCCCATCAGCTCCATAAACGGCTGCAGGCAGTGGTTCTGCGTTGCGTAACAGAGAGCAGGAATGTCTTGGGTGGCATCCTCGTCCGACGGCGGCAGCCCATCGGGGAACGCCTGGAACTGGAAATCGGAGAGACCCTTCACAGCTTCAGGGCCCCTGGCTCGAACCAGGCGCCTGTGGTTGTGCTCGGTGTTGACGAATGTGATGTGGAAGCCTCTGGAGTGCAAGAGTTTGGCGAGTTGCATGAAAGGGTTGACATGGCCTTGTGCTGGAAATGGCAGCAGCACAGCGTGTGGCTTCTGCTGCTGCTTTCCTGAATGTGCAGATGACCCCATTGGATGCCCTTCAGCTTTGGGATTGGGCTCGTCCTTCTACTTATACAGAAACAGAGAGGCTAATTGAAGAGGACACGTGTCAGCTCCAAGTTGAGATGATTACTTCAGTAGCTGGACCTTTTTTTATGGGCTATTGCCTTGTTGGAATGGTGATAACCATTAGAGCACGATGGGATTGAGAAGCAAGCGTTAGAGTTAGAGCGGCCAGGAAAACAGGGGATGGGTGATGGCAAGCTGCGGCTCTGTATATGTCACTCACACTTCACACTTGCATGATGGTCACGTTTTCTGTTACAAAAGATCCCCCAAAGTGACGTACTCAAAACAGCAACAACAAATTTTTTGAAATGGCAGGAAATAAAACGGAAAGAAGATAAAGACTATAGGTGTCAAAACATAGCCCGGTCCGATTAACCCGCCCGATCAATCCGATCCACAACCCGACCGCAATCCGAATTGATTAAAAGTCAACAACTCGTAACCCGCCTGACCCGCAACTGACCGACCCGCAACCCGATTAACCCTAACCCGACTGACCCGCAACTTGACTAACCCGTAACCCGATTAACCCGAACTCGATTGACCTGAACCCGACCGACTCAACCCGAACTTCATCTAATCCACTTGAATAATTATTATAATATACAATACATAGTTTTTCAAAATAAATTTTTTCATTCTAAACTTAACTAAAATTATTTTTTCATTTCGTATAGGGAATTTAAAAAATATGAAACTCACTTGATATTATGTATTTTAAGAGAATTACAAAAATTGAAACATGTCACTTGAACACCAAGCTCTTTAATAAAATTAAAAAATTAAATATAAAATCAACATAGTGTCAATATTAATAATGAAGAATTAATAATTGAGATCATGGACAATATTAATATAATATATAAATTAAAATTTTGTTTAATTTAACTATTCAATAAAATTATAATTAAATATAAATAAAGTAAAGTCATGTATTTGGTAATTTGATGTTTTTAAAAGAAGAGAGAAATTTTAGTGTATTCAACTTTTTGGAAAGAGAAAGAAGAGGGAAATTTGGTACTTTGAATTTTTTAGAAAAGAAACAAGTGTGAATTTTAGTAGTTTTGATTTATGGGAAGAGAAAGAAGTTGGAAAGTTTGGTTCTTTTGATTATGAAAGATAAATAAAGAGGGAAATTTTGAGTTTTCAACATTTTGTAGAAGGAAGGAAGAGGGTAATTTGGTTCTTTCAATTTTATGGAAAAGAAGGTTAAAAGTGTAACTTTGTTATTTTTTAGGATTATCAATAGTAATTTTAAGGACGACCTTTATCAATTCCCATACAATGGGTGCCTAACGCATTTTATTTTATTTTCTTTCAAATTTCATGGGATTATCAACAACTGATTCGGCTGATGATCGAATGTGACTTGACTCATGATCAAGGTGGAGCTTTACTGGAGGATACTCGGGGCTTGACTTCTCTTTTTCGTTGTGTTTCTTACTGTTTTGTTCTTCGTCGACTCATTAGGGCTGCCCATCTTGTGGCACAAAAGGCCCTTTCATCGAGAGTTCGACTACTGGTCAACTCTCGCGCTTTTTATTTCTTTTGTATGGCTGCCTATTTCAACCCCTAACTTTGCAACAAAAAAAAAAAAAAAAAAAAAGAGGAAGAAAAATTGAGTGTTTCTAATTTATGAAAGGAGAAAGAATGAGGAAAATTTTAGTTTTTTTTTTTTTTTTGAAAAGAAAGAAGGAAACAAATTTGGTGTTTTCAATTTTTTGGGTTTTCAAAATTGTAGCCTTTGAAATATGAATCTTTAACTTTTATATGGAGGGCATTACTAGTTAAATTTATTCTTATATGCTTTGAAGGCTAATATATATATATATGTATGTAATTGTTTATGGGCTAATAAATAAATTAACCATTAGTTACAACAATTATACTAAACTTGATAAGTAATCTTTGACAGTTCGTTGTTTAGGGTATAAAGTATATGGTTAGGGTATAGGATGGTTTAGGGCGTATATGGATAGGGTATAAGATATTGATGGTTTTGACGGTTCTAAGTTTTTTATTAACATATGTTCACTTGAAGTCATTTGAAGTCTTTAATGGCAGGAGATCCCTTTTTAATTTATTTTTATGGTACGTGGTTAGGGTACAAGGTATGTGGTGTAGAGTATAGGATATATGGTTAGGGTATAGCAATTAGCAAATATCACTTTTTATCTATGTTTTGAAAATCAAAGTATGAATTTCACTTTTAAATTAACTATACTAGCAAAATCACAACTCAATGACATATGGTTAGGGTATAGGGTATCAGGTATGTGGTATGTGGTTAGTGTATAATGTATTGATGGTTTAGGGTATACAATCAACAACATATACTAACTTAATATTGTTGATTGAGGGTAAGGCTAAGTGTATAGGATATATGTTATTGAGTAAGTTATGATTGAAGTCACAATAATTTTACTAAATTTGATAGTTAATCTTTAATGGTTCAATTTTTAGGATAATTCGAACAATATTACAAATAACTCGTTTTGCAACAGTTTACTGAAGTTATTTGTGCAATGAGTTATTTCGGAATAACTCATTTTATCACTCCGCTTTTGACAAATACCACACGCCAAATACCAGATTTGCATGGTTATACTAAACGAGATACTTTAATCCAATTACTACTGATTTAATACTAAAATATTAAATAAACAATTAATGGTGTCTTTTGGTTGCAAATATTGATATCACTATTACTATTAGCTAGTGTACTTTACCCATTATGATTAACTACATAACAAGTTTGCAAGTCATACAAATTGATTTAACATTTTGACTAGTTTTTTTCAAAAAAATTAAGTATATATATACGAGGTAGAAATAAATTGGTTAAAAAGTTGAGAAAAATATTTTAAATTAGTGTAATAAAATGTGTAAGTTGGTAACGTGTAATGAGTAAGTTACTCGATGCGCTGCCCGAACAAACCGAAACCCGATCCGCCTGCAATCCGCCCGACCCAAAACCCGATGAACCCGCAACCTAGTTGAACCCAAACCCGACTAACCCACAACCCGACTAACACGCAACCCGTTTGAACCCGAACCCGATTGAACCCAACCCGAACCCGCCGATTGACACCTATAGATAAGACCCGGAAAGCGCTTAATAATTGATCTCTGCAAATTTAGCTTCTTCCATAGTGGGTTAGTGACAGGAAAAATAATCAAATATCTTCTGGTTGCGTTTCCAAACGGCCAAGCAGAAACATAATATATTCTAGAGAACTCAGATAAGCACATCAAGAGACTTGAGAGATATTATTAATTAAGGTAGCACCATACGATTTACTCCAAGTGTTATCTAAGAGAGAGAGAAATGATCATTATTTTAATAATTGAAAGCAAAAGGTTACAATTAGGTCACTACAACCGAATGTTTACGGCAATTAATCTATCGTTGCTAATGTGCATATAAAATAACATGTCTTCAAATTAGAGGTGAATAGTGGGTGGGTTTATGTGAATTCAGGTGGATTTGGCAACATGGACTTATTTATGTACATGTTAGTAAAATATGGTACGAGTATATAACGGTATGTCTAAAAGTTTTGCATCAATCACAAAATATTAAAAAAATTTATAATTTATGTTGAATATAAATTTATAAATTTATTAATATAATTGCTTATAATATGTATACTGAACGTGTTATACGTGTTCAATATGGGAAGCATCAAACAAACGGGGTAAAACGAGACGTCTCTGCAATAGTACGCAAATGGGAGTTTTAAATTGATTTAGTACGTATACGGATATTATACAAGTATTAAACGGATTTTTACTAACTATTGTGAGGATTGGGTGATTGCGGATGATGAGTGATTAGATGGGGTCGTTGTGTTTACAACATACATTTCAAAAATTCACGGTAGATGCCACTTTTTGTCCGGATAAAAAAATGTTTAATTAAGTAAATTTTAGTTTTCTTTTAAGGTTGGCAAATACTGAATCTTTAATGAGCTTCTAGCTAAAGCGTATTAGTAGTCCTTGAGATGAGTTGTGTTTGCCGTAGTTCAATGAGATTAGCAATAGCAAATCTCAGTGAATACAATTTGATCGTGAGGAAATTATGTGTTTTGATTTTGGTTAGACGAATTAGGCATCCACGCAATTTGGTGGATTTTGTGAGGTTGGACCTCAATGTTGAAAGCATATATCTACGAGCACTAAAAGTAAGGAAAAACTGCTTTATTAGGTTCTCATGAAATCATCATTACAAATAGATGGACGAAATTTAGTGCAGCCCGGCGACGTGGCATCATATAATTGGTGGTGTTTTCTTAAATCATCAATGCTTTCATTTTTATCTAACGGAGCTATTGACGGAGGGAATTCTCCCTCTTTCACCATAAACATTTTTTTCTTTTGCGTATTCATTATTTCATTATTCTCTCCTTTCCGTTAATTATTAGTTCTTTGCTTTGCTTTTCAGTCTACTCTCTACTGCCTATACTTGTCCATTGCCAAATATTATTTAATTTTGTAGTCTTTCAGCCAAATACTTTTTTTTTATAACGGCAGATAATATTTCTAAATCTAGAAAATAATAACTTATTTATTGAAATGTAAAAAATTCAAATATAGTGTAAACTTATGAAACGCAATTTTATTTATTATTTCTTGATTTGGCTATTTTATATAGTATGTGGTGAATTTTAATACTTTAATTAATTTAGGGTTGAACATCTCCCTAGGTTGAATAGAGGACTACCAATTCATCATGTGGGTCTGAGTACGAGTGTAATTGTGATCATAATGTTGTATTGGGTTTACCCAATTGTGGAAGTTAGTTGTAAACACCTCAATTGTCAAGGTCGGTTGCATGGCACGTGGGGATGGCAATTTGACACACAGTAGGGCTTTACCTGACTACCCATGATGGGGCGGGTATTACCCGACCCGCAGTAGCATTGGACAAGGCATGTGTATCTACTTCTGATCTGGCCCGT